ATTTCATCCTGGGCAGTCTCAGATGTGTTTGCATATCACAGAGGTGCTGGTATCCTGTGCTGAGGTCCACTGAGCAAGAGGAACAGCCTCCTGTGATTGGTTGTGGGCTACTGCCTCCATTTGTACTTGCCTGCACTGTTCTTGAATTCTTCTGTGGTTAAGAAACTTCTATGTTAGGCCTTAGGCAAGGTGCTATGGGGAATATCAGGGTAAATAAGACTCAATTGCTCATATTCTCATGGGGGGAAAAGACTCAGATGACTCTAACACATGATAATGTGCTCTAGAGAGGCTCAGAGAGCCATGGAAAATCTGAGAAAGAGGAGCAGTAGCATTTGAGCCCAGCCTTCAGTTCACTCAATAAAATTTTCATGTGTTCAGCCAGTGTTCATTGAGCACCTAATGTATCCTGGCGCCAGGCAAGGTGATAGATAGGTGGACCTTTGTGGGAGATTCTTGCTGTTGGAGAATGAATTAGAAACAAGATTGGACCAGGGTGAAGTGGCTGCCATAAGCTATGTTTTGCAAAATATGAAGGCCTATAGAAATGGGCAGTATTACTGCAGTGCATTATTTATTATCAAAGAAATAAAAGGAAAGCCTTCCATCGGGGAGAACAGAGGATCTTCCAGGTAAGTTTGAAATGGCAGATTCAGGCATAAGCCGCTCTCTTTCAGGAGCCTGTTAGGAATGCTGTTCTGTTCCTTTCTTCTTTTATTTCGTTTCCTTTTCTTTCTCCTTCCATCCAAATAATTTACAAAGCATCTCATTTCTTTTACCTGGATTCCTGGCCCCATGCCCTCCAGAAACCAGCATGTCTGCCTGAAGGAGTAGAGGCGCTGTGGTTTGTGGGTCCGCTTCCCAGCACACAGCCGTTCCCAGGAGTGGATGGACTTTGCTTTGGAGGAGGGAGAGAAAGTTCTAGGCTTTCTTTTGGATTTTAAAGGGGAACTTTTTTTTTAAGTAAAGATTTTTTTTCCCCATGAGCTTTTAATGTGGCTAACAACTTTCAGAATAGGTTGGAGGACCTGTTCTATTTTGATCAAAAAGAAATTGACAATAAATGTGATTTAATATCCCACATAAAGATAAATAGGTTGTAGTAACATATCTTACCAATATTCTTTCTCTGCTCCAATATGTTTATTATTTTTTATTACTTTTCCCCTCAAGTAATCCTCATACTCCTACCTAAACAATTTGAAGATACTTAGGGCCGGGGATATAGCTCATAAACCTTGAAACCTTGCATGCCTGGCAAGCGCAAGGTTGGATTCCCTATACCCCCCAAAATTAAAGCTATATAAAGAAAAAGTTATAATCTCTCTTCCTCTATCTCTACCACCCTCATTTTCTGTTCTTCTGAGATAACCAGTATCATCAGTTTGGTGAATATCCTTCTAGTCTTTCCCAAGCTTGCTTATTTACTCATTCATTCATTGGTGTTTTTGAGACAGTGTTTCCCTGTGTAGTTCAGGCTGGTCTTGAACTATGTAGCCAAGGCTGGCCTTGAACTCATAGTGATCCTCCTGCCTCAGCCTTCTGAGTGCTGAGATTACAAGCATGTGCCACCCCACCTAGCCTAAGCTCCTTTTTAAGTGGATATATGGTTTAATTGTGTATGTGGCTATTTTGTCATAGTGGGGTCATACTTTATCAATTACTTCGCAATTTAATTTTCCTAGTAAATAATATATATATCACCAGTAGGTTTAGATCTAATTCACTATTTTACATAGTATCAGGCCTGTAGATCTAGAAGTGCCGTGATATATTCAGCCGTTTCTCCTTTGATAGATATTTATGTTGTATGGATGCTGTGGTTTGAATGTGGTTGGTCCCTGTGGAAATTCATGTCCGAATTTGATTGCCAGTGTAGCAGTGTTGGGAGGTGGAGCCTTTGAGCAGTGTTAATGTCTTCCTCCAGACATCTGTCAACTCTCTCCATGGCAGGTCATTAGAGCAGGCCGCTCCTTTGTCCCCTTCTCTCTTTGTACGCATCTTCTTCCCTCCCCTTCACTACCAGCTGGACCTTACCAGAAACCAGGCTGATGATGGTGCTGTGCTCTTAGACTTTCAGAGCCGTGAGCCAAAATAAATCTCATTTCATTATAAATTATCCAGTCTCTGGAATTCTGCTCACAGCAGCAGAAAATGGACTAAGACATGTTTTTCCACTAAAACTATTGTTGCGTTAAGTATCCTTATATGCATATCCTACTCTGTTGGTGCTTTTATTTCTGTAGATTACATTTCAGAAGTAGTATTGTTGAGTCAAAGAGTATTTGTATTTGACATTGCAGTAAATAATACTGTCTTATTTTACACAGTGAGGTAACTTACACTCCAACGATATATGAGCACTTCCAGTTCCCCAAATCCTCACCAATATTAGATATTCTCTCCCTCCCCTCTCCTTTCCTTCTTCCTTCAAGCTCTGTTCTTTTATTTTGTGGCAGGGCTGATGGGGAAAATGGTGTCTTATAGTTGCTTAGTTCGTGTATTGGTTACTGTTGGTGAGACTGAACATGTTTCATGTTAACTGGCCACTTCATTCTTCTCTTCTGTGAATTTCCTTCTGTTTTTCTCATGAGCTGTTTTTTTCTCGGTCACAGAAGGTCTGTATATATCTGTGTGTTATTAACTCAGTAGTGCTGCAGATATTTTTCCTAATCTATTACTTATTTTCTTGTAAAATAAGCAATTTTCATTGTAAAATATGTCTGTTTTCTATTTTTCTTTATGTAGTATCTGTCCATCTTGATTTTTATACCTTTCTACCTCAAAGTTATAAAATATTTTCCTATTGTTTTTCTAATGCTTTTATGTTTTAATTAATTTAATTGAGACCCTCAGGCCCTTCAGAATCTGTGTTTATATAGTAAGTGGTATTGGTCTGGTTTTGTTCTAGTTATGCTAGCGCTATTTCTCACATAAACCATCTTTTCCCTTCTGCACTGAAATCCCATAAATAAGTTCACTTGTATGTATTTCTGAACTTGGTTTTTCTAGTCTGCAGATGTGTTTTTCTGTTATGTTAGTACCATATCTTTCTATGATAATATCTTTATAGTAGATTTTTATCATCTCAGAAGACAAATCCTCCATTTTTCATAATTTTCTTGGCTATTTCTGGCCAAGTTTCATGGATATTTATTATTCTATATGAACTTTGAGGCATAATTTTATTCATTTCTTCCTTTAAAAAATTTATTGGTATTTTTATGGAAACCTAATCAAAATTACCTGGTAATTTCGGAAAGACTGACATTTATTGAAAATTAGTCTCTCTCGCTCTTTTTTTTTTTTTTTCTTTCTGTGGTGCTGGGCATTAGACCTAGGGCCTCGTGCATGCTAGCCAAGTGTTCAGCCACTGAGCCACCTCTCCAGCCTTGATAATTAGTCTTTTCTACACAAGAACATGCTGATTTGGTACTTACACATTCTATTTCTGCTTTTCATTTTTAATCTTTACTACTGTAATATGTATCGTGAGTATATAATTTAAAGTAAAGCAATATTTGTATATTTTTCCTGAATCAACAAGAAACTTAAACAGGGTCCTTTTTTGTTGTGTTCATGGTACTGAGCATTGAACCCAGAACATTGCACATGCTAGGCAAGTGTTCTACCACTAAACTATATTCTCAGCCCTTTTTATTTTGAGACAGCATTTCACTAAGTTTTCCAGGCTGGCCTCAGCCTCCCAAACAGCTGAGGTTGCAGGTGTGTGCCACCATGCCCAGCTTCACCACAGAACCGATCTCTCTTCCCTCCATATTATTATCAAATAATTAATATTGTCAAATTTGTTTTTATCACTCACTAGCTTTGCTTTATTGTATTTTAAAAATTTACCAATATGCTTACTAATTTCTTACTATTGATTATAAAATCTCACTTATTTTCTATATTTTGTTTCCCCTCCCTCTCCCCCTACCCCTTTCCCCTGCTTCTCCTCTCTTCTTTGTTTCGGCCATGCTGGGAATTAAATCCAGGACCTTGTATGTACTAAGCAAGCAGTCTACCCCTGAGTTACATCCCCAGAGCCCAGCCTAATTTCCTTTCTTTTGGACAATGTCCCTGGGGTCTGTGAGTGGTAAACTTGCTCAGTCTTTGTTTGAAAATGTCTTTTTCCCTTGCTCTTGATAGTTTAACTTGATGTGAAGTTTTACATAGACAGTATGTTTGATAGTTATGAAAGTTACATATATGTCTTAAAAATTTTCAATCAAAACAGAAATAAGTAATGTACAAAGACTTTTCTTTTTCCACAGTTTAAGTCTCAAAGAGAACCGTTCTTGTCATTTGCTATTTGCTTTTTTCTATGTGTACTTTAAAATTTTAAATGAATGTTTATAAATGCTGTATTTTTTCATAAGAAAAACAATCCTATGACTATTTTTATTCAAACAATAATATATGAAATTTTGTAATATACTTTTTTTCCTGCCAGTACTGAGGAATGAGCCCAGAGTCTTTGCGCTGACCTACATCTCCAGCTCTTTTTAAGTTTTTTATTTTGAGACAGAGTCACTAAGTCACTAAGTTGCCTGGGCTGCCTTCAAACTTGACAGGCTCCTGCCTTGGCTTCCTAAACTGCTGGGGTTACAGACTAGCATCACCATGTCCAGCTTACAGTCTACTTTCTAACAACCAAGCATATACATTTTTCTATGTCAGTACAATCAAATCTTCATTCTTTGAAACAGCTGTACAGTTGCTCATTCTACTGATACACGATAACTAAACTCATTCTCTATTAACAGCTGTTTACGTCATTTCCCCCATTTTTTTGAGGCTACACAATGTTACTCTGACGATCTTTTCACTTATGTGAATATAATCCGTGATATAAATTCCTGAACATTGGGCTGACTCAGAGGATGTGCATGCTTAATAAGTTCTCAGATATTGTTAACTTGTTTCCCCAAAAGATTGTTTCATTTTGCAAGGTAGAATATGACTGACTCCAATCTCTTTTTCTTCTGGTTCCTTAGAATTTCCACATTGATGAGTCAAGAGTGGAAAATTTGAAGAGATGCAAGCAGAAAGAAGAAATTAAACCAGGTGGGTAGTGATGTTATTCATACTACTCTGCCATACCATCATAATTTTTGCTTGAAAGCCTTTTTTTTATGTTTGAAGAAAGAAAATAACTAGGCTCAAATGAAATTAGGGAGGAGGTTTGGTCCCATAAAGAAAAGTCAGGATGGCTCTTTTAAGAAGTTATATAACGTACCATAATTTCACAGTCATGATTCCATTTACAGGCAGTTTCTTTATAGCATCAGAGAGACACTTTCCCTCCGCTGGTGTAGTGGATTTCTTCCACCATATACTTCAGCAGATACAGTCATAGACAAGAGCTCTTAGCAACTTTGGGTGTGATGGCTGCTTTTCTCTCTACCAAATATTTACTTTAAAGCCATTTTCACAAAGACCAGGGCACATTATGGGAGTGTCCACTTCAATGCTGTGTTAGAGAAGCCAACGGAAGCAAAACGCAGCACAAAGAAGTGCATGCAGTCCAGTAGTCTGCGGAGGGGGTGTGATGCTGGACCCTTAACAAACTGCAATTCTCAGAGTAGGAATGGCCAGCCTGCCTAGAAGTATGGCCCCATGAGTATTGCTTATAGTTTTATGATAGCTAATGCATATGGCATAAATTCGTAATTTTAAATCCAAGGTAACATGCTAATTAACTTTTCCTCTAAAGCACTCCTGTTTATCTGTAAATCTGGTAAATTTTTTTGCACTGCTAAGTTGGGAGTACGGGTCCCTCAAGATTTTTCTCGCCCACTCAAGCATCTGTGACTGTAACTGCCAAAGGTACCAGAATCAAAGACTGCACATGCCCAGATGGTCTACACCTACCTGGGTCTTTTCCATAGCTAGAATTGTCACAAGGATGCTAAAGACCCTGGGGACAAGCTATTCTCTCTGAAGAGATTGTTGGATCCATTTTTCTTTTCTTTCTTTTTTCTTTTGTACTGGGAATTGAACCCAGGCCCTTTGCAATGAGCTACATCCCTGGCCCTTTTAAATTTGTTTATTTTGAGATAGGGTCTCACTGATTCACTGAGTTGCCTAAGTCTGGGCATGAACTTGTAGTCCTCATGCCTCAGCCTCCTAGAGTGCAGGGGTTATAGGGGTGAGCCACCACACCCAGTTCCATTGTACTTTTGTACCTAAACTAGGGGCTGTGAGAGAAGACTTGTTACTTTCTGTCCTCAGCACTGTATGGGGATGGTGCAGCTCAGTATAGATACTTGCCTAGGCCAGGAAAAGTCCTTTTCATCTGTACATTTATTCAGCAGGTGTTTTAGAGGTCTTGTGACCTGAACACTGGTAACTTAGCATAGCAAAAGTGTCAGACGAGTCTTGGCCCTCAGGAAGCTTGTGGGTCTGGTTAATAGAGTAACAGTTGTCTGCAATAAGCGGGAGGGACCCAAGGCTGGAAGAGGGTGGGAGATGGTACCCAAAGCAGAGGCTGCAGGCCTTGGGAACAGCATGGGGAAGGCCTGGAGCCGGGAAAGGGCACATGGGTTTCCATGGGTGCCTGGTGCAAGGGGTGGCTGTGGCGGGTGTTGAAATAGGCAGCCTCAAGGGAGTGTGCACTTTATCATGCTGCTGTGAGTGGAAAGTGGCGGTGTGATGTTATTGGAGAGAGGCGTGAGTCAGCCTTAGGAAAGAGACCCTCTGACACCAGCCTGGAGAACGGGCCAAGTAGAGTTCCATGATTCGCCTGCCTACTCTTGTTGCCTCCTTCTCAGGGCTTGCATTCTACCTTTCCCTGGACCTTCAAGAAAACAGAGGAAAGAGCCCAAGAGCAGATAATTTTTTGTAGAGAAGTGTGAGGAGGTGGTGGTAGGCGGGTGGGTAAAGGTGTCCAGGGTACAGCAGAACGAGGTGGACTTGGACGAGTCATTTCATACCTGTAAGCAGCAGCTTTCTTGTCTGTTAAAAGAGGATAGTAAGTATTACTTTCTCCTCTCTTGTAACTGCATATTTTACTCGAGTTGGGGCTCCAGATGAACCTCTCTCATTTGTTTGCCATGGAATTCGTTGAAATCCTCAGGAGGATTATGGGGCTCCTAAAGATGCAGCTTGTCCCCTGTGGTAAGGGCAGTGAAGAAGCCTTAGCTTTGGGTCACTCTTGCAGCGCTCCCTCCCTACAGCTCACAGTACTCAGCAGCCAGCAGGGAGGGAGCAAGTGCTGACTAAAGACCCGGTGTGTGTTGGCCAGCCCCACAGACCGAAAAACTTCCCGAGCTACTATTTGCCCGTCATGACCCAGGAAGAAGTAGAAGAGACACTGAAGTTGTCTCAGGCCTCTATGCATTTTCCATTCTGTTCCTGCTCCTGCAGACTTTTCAAACATGGTGGCAGCCACAGAGAAATCAAGGGACAGCACCTCTGCTCTCTCCTAAGTCTTAAAAATTCTGGGCAGGGCCCTCAGATAACTAAAACATGATGCTGGGGCCAGCAGGTCCATTTGGCACTTCTCTTGATTGAGTCTTTTCTGCAAGTACTAGCATTAGAGGAGCCACCTTCCTACCATACGCGCACATTGTCCTGCTCATCTCTTTGGTCATTTTCCTTCTCATCTGAGCAAAGAGGGCCATGCGTGCGGCGAATCCCATGGTTACTTCTCCACCAGAAAACTGCCAACTGCTCTGACCTGGTGCACTGAAGGGCTCCTTGGGAGGAGCTAGCCACGAAGACAGCTCCTTTGAGAGGAGGCTAAGCCCACATGAAGCCATTTAAAAACTCTGCCCAACACAATCAATATGGTCAAAATGTCCACATTACCCAAAATAGTCTATGAATTTAATGCAATCCCTATCAAAGTCCCAATGGCATTTCTCATAGAAGTAAAAAGAAATCCTAAAATTCATCTGGAACTATATAAAAGACTCAGAATAACAATAACTCTTGAGTAAGAGCAACAAAGCTGGAGGCATTATACTGCCTCATTTTAAGTTATCTTACAAAGCTAGTCAAACTGGTATGATATTAGCATAATATCAGGAACTAGAACAGAATAGAAAGTCCAGAAATAAACTCACATGTATATGGTCAACTACTCTTTGACAAAGGTGTCTCAAGTACACAGTGGGGAAAGGATAATCTCTTCAATGAATGAGAAAATTGGATACCCACATGTACGAAATGAATTGGGTCCTTATACTATATACAAAACATCAACTGAGAATGAGTTAAAAATTTAAATGTAAGTCCTGGAACCATACAATTCCTAAAAGAAAAAATGGGAAAGCTCCATTATATTGGTCTCAATAATAATTTTTTTTTGATATGACAACAAAAGCACAGGCAACAAAAAGCAAATCCAAAACAAATGAGACTGCATTAAACTAAAAAGTATCTGCACAGCAAAGGAGCTAGCAAAATGAAGTACAGCTGACCAAATGAGAAAAACACTTGCATCCCACATACCTAGATAAAGGGCTGATACCTAAAGTATACAAGGAGCTTATATAACTCAGTAGGAAAAGACAAGTAACTCAATTTAAAAAGTGGGAAAGGATTTAAATAGGTATTTTTCCAAGGAAGACATAAATGGCCAAAAAGTATACATGCAAAGGTGCTCACCATCACTCATCATTAGGACAGTGCAAATCTGAACCACCTCACACATTAGAATCATGGTTACCAGCACTCCTCTGTAATCCCAACACTCGGGAGGCTGAGGCAGGAGCATTGCCACAAGTTCAAGGTCATAGTGAGTTTAAGACCAGCCTGAACTACGTAGTGAGACCCTGTCTCAAAAAAACCAACCCCCCCCTAAAAAAAAGCAGAAAAAAAACTCCAACCCCCAAAGAGAATCATGCTACCAAAAAACAAAAGATAAATGTTGAGGTGGAAACAGAGAAAGGGAACCTTGCTCTTTTTTTTTTTCTTGTGGTACCAGGGATCAAACTCACGACCTTGCACTTGCCAGGCAGGTGCCTATGCCACTGAGCTATATCCCCAGCGGGAACCTTGTTCATTGTTGGTGGGAATACTGATTAGTACAGGATTGAGGTTCTTCAAATTAAAAATAGAACTACTATATGATCCAGAAATCCTACTTCTGGCTTTTTTTTTCCCTTTTTTTTTGAGAAGGATAGTACAGGCTGGCCTTGAGTTCACTACATAGCCCAGGTCAGCTTTAAACTCATGGCAATTCTGCCTCAGCCTCCTGAGTGCTTGGATTACAGGCTTGTGCCACCACACCCAGCTTACTTCTGGTTATTTATCTAAATGAAATCAAATCACCATCTTGAGATACCTGCATACATGTTCATTACAGTATTAACCACAATAACCACAGTATGGGAACAACAACCTATGTGTAGATAGATGGATAAAAAATGTTGTGTACAGTATAGACAATGGAATATTATTTAGCCTTTAAATAAAATATCTTTACAAAGAAGGAAATCCTGGCATTTGCAGCAATGTGGGTGAGCATGGAAGGCATTATTATCCTGTGTGAAATAAGCCAGGCACAGAAAGAGAAATACTACCTAATTGTACTACATAGTAGAAACAGAATGGAAATGTAGTTACTGGCTAGGGGATTGGGAAATGGGAAATTAGTCAAAGTTTGCAAACTACAAACTTGCAGTCATAAGATGAATAACTTTTGGAGACTTAATGTATACTATATAACATTACACTTGACATTTGCAAAGAGAGTAGATCTTAAATATTTGTGCCACAAAAAGTAACTATGTGAAGTGATAGGTATATTCATTTGCTTGATTATGATAACCATTTCTCAACATATACAGATACCAATGCATTACATTGTATACCTTGCATATATACAGTTTTTACTCAATAAGGCTTAAAAATTTTTAAAAATCAGCCAGGCATGGTGGCAAACACCTGTAATTCCAGCACTCAAGGAGGCTGAGGCAGGAGGATTGCAAGTTCAAGCCCAGCCTGGGCAACTTAGTGACTTAGCAAAACCCTGTCTTAAAATTTTAAAAAGGGGTGGGGTTGTAGCCCAGTGTAAAAGCCTAGTACTGCCAAAAATAAAAAAGCAAACAAACCAAAAA